TTCTTGAAGTGGTGCGTGGCAATTAGAGTTGTTAGCAAACCGAATGTTTGCGCTCGTTTGTCTGCGACAAGAGATATCGAGCCGAGTTCGAATAGTAAATTAGGCTCGTTTAGTAGTCGAATGAATACAAGTTTGTCTTCGAATGTTCGATAATGTTCGTGAGCTTTAATTTAATAGTATAATTTTATGTTCTTATTATATTTTTATGTATGAAATTTTTAATTAAAAACTGTGAAATATGAAAATATTTCTTTTTTATCATTTAATTTTGAGTTCAAACGGCAGATCTCGATTTAATTAAATAATTTTAAAACTTATTTGATAAATTATTTGAACACAAACAAACTCATATATACTTTGACAGACGATGAGTCAAACAAGCTCGAACACAAATTGTTGCTTGAAAAATAAAAGAACAAATATGAAGAAATAATGTTTGAAAATAAACGAACAGCAGCTCGAAATGTCAAAGCTCGGCTCGTTTCGATTACACCACTTGTTAAACCAAACAAGCCATTTGAGTAGAGCTTGAGCTCGAGTTGGACTCGTTAAAGGTCCTAACTTGAGTACCATATATAACTGGGACTCAGCTCATTTACATGCCTAGCTATATGTGAATTTTGCATTCGCTTGTATGTATGTATCATGAATGTTATGCTACCTTATGGAGAATGATGTAATTACATATATCACATGGTGGGGGGGGACCTGGCAGGCACGAGGAGAGTATTAATTAAATAGCTCACTAACACCATTATTATTAACTAGTACGCTACCCGCGCGATGCGCGGCCTGATGTTATAAGTGATGTGGGTACATAATAATTCAAATTAATGAAAAGTTATTCAATAAAAAGTATAATAATTTTTTGATTTATCACATCTTAAAATTTTTATTGAAAAAAATTATAACTCTAGAAACAACAATAATGTGCGACAGTATGTGATTAAAACATAGAATATGTCTTTTCCTTCAAATTTTTAAAATTAAATTCATTAAACTTACAAAAAAAAACATATATGGGATATTCAATATAATAAAGTATTTGTCATATTAATTTCCTGATATTTTTTTATTTATAAAATTGTCTCTTTAATAAAATAGTTTTCATTATCTTGAAACAAAATAAAGTCATTGTTACTATTATACAAATAAATTGCTATGCACATAATTAATGTTAACATATATGAGTCAATTAAAATTAAGAAACATAAATTGAATGCTTGATTAAAAAACACAAATACGGCCCAACTTTTGGTCTCATGTATCTAGTTTTAAATTAGACCCACATGTTTTACTTTTTATTAAAAAAATTAAATATCAGCCATTCATTTTTAGTAAAATAAGTGTGAGAGTGATATGAGAATGATGTGAATAATGGATCATTTTTTTGTAAAGTTACAGATAGGTCGTTAATCGTTAAAGTTCAAGTAAATAACATATTACTTGTTTTTCACTTGGAAATCATAAGAAATGTTATTTACTATAATTTTAGAAATGTACATGGACAGAATTTTTGTAAAGTAATAAGAAAAAAATATTTAAATTATATTACATAAATTCTAAAATAATAAAAATTATTTGTTTAAATAAACATTAATGATATATGATAAGAAAAAAGTAGTTGGTATATGTGTTCTATGAATAAAAAATTAATAATATTGATGACAATATGTTATTTTATTCATTAAAAAAAAAAAACAGCTACATACTTGAAGATCGATAAAAGTTAAAATGATGATAGTTTTTTTAATAGCAAATTGTTAGATTATCTCAAATTTTAGACCTATATAGAACAAATGATACCAACTAAAAATAAATTAAATTAAATAACGATACATTTTTGGCTCAAACTATTTAATTAATTGGTACTGAAATCTATATAAAAGACCTTGTATAATATAGATTTTCACTGAATAATAAAATAATAAATATGTATTTTCTTGCCCAGTTTTCAAAATAAAAATCACGCCATTACTGTTCCCTCTTTCTTATGGCTGGGATACTCTCACTCTTTCTGTCATCATTTTCTTTCTCTTTTTTTTTTCTCCTTTCACAATACTCATTTCGTATCATTACCATATCGCTTATCCATAAACGAAACCTAACTTCATGTCATGTTCTAACACAAAACCATCTCATTTTTTATTTCGCATACAAACTTAACAGTGTATATCCGTCTAATTGTGAACAATAAGAAAACATTAGGTCTATATATCAAAATATATATTTTTTATAGACTTTTAAGATATTTTACTTCCAAACTATATTCCTGAAATATTCAAAATGGTAACAGTCAATGTTAGGTCAACACCAACACTTACTTTACATGAAATTTATGATAATTTTAATTTAACTTATTTTTTAAATACATGTTGATAAATTCATGAAAAATAATAAGAATAAAAATATTTAAATTATAATATATAATTCTAAAATAATAAATAGTAAACAAACACTTGGGATATGTAATAAAGAAAATATAATTGTTGCATCTTTAGTATGTTGTGTGAAATTTTATCTGTCACAATTCAGCCATTCTAAAAAATTTAATGATCGATATATAAACAAAAATTAATAATAAGATTACCCATTAGGCATTTTCTTTTCAAAAATATATTATTATATAAATATGGGCCAAGAAA